AAAAAAAAAAAAAAAACAACGAAAAAAAAAAAAAAAAAAAAAAAAAAAAAAAAAAAAAAAAAAAAAAACTTTTAAAAATAGAAAAAATACCAAATAAAAAACTTTAATTTTAAAAATAAAAGGCAATTTCTATTTGTTGCAGAACACTTATAACAGTATAAGATATATAGTTTACTCTTATTATAACAAACTCTGTTATAGCAAATACCTTATTATAACAGAGTAATTTTCTAGAACAATTTAAAATTTTTACACTAGTATATAAAACACAAGTATGTTAATAACTCAAAATTTTGCTTATAAAGCCACTCTTCAAGTTTTAACAAAAAAAAAATCTATATAAAATTTGTCAAATTATTTTTTTAATTTTAAAATTATAACAGTACTGTATTTTAATACTATATAAAATAGTAATTTTTACTAAATTTTTTGTTATGTTTTTTTATAAAAAAATTTATTAATTTATATCAGTATATAAAACACGAGTATAATTTATAAAAAATTTAAAATAAAAAATTAAATCAAATTAAAATAAGTTAGAATTAGAGATTAGAATTAGAAATAGGTTATACTAAAATTTTATATAGATTTTTTTTGGTAAAAGTGATTTCATAAGCAAAATTTTGAGTTATTAATATATCCACTAGTGTACAAATAGAAGACCAGAATATAATCTTTTGCTTATTGATTATATAGTTTATAAATTAAACTATAGAATCGATAAAGTAAAGGCTGTTTTTATGTAAATAAGAACCATTAAATCTATTCTAAATATGATATTAATTTTGCTAAATTATATTATATATACAGTATACTACGTATACTATATTATACCAATCTAAAAATTGCGATTTTGAATCCTCTCATATAACGTTATAAGAGAAAACCTGTAAGTAACGTATTTATTTTAAATTAAAAATATAGAAATCCTCAAAATTATATAAGCGTCGAAAATTGGACTGTCTGATACATTATATGAATTACCGTATTTGTAAAAATAACATGCCGAGAGAGACGCGCAATTTATAGAATGATAATAATTAATTTGGCAAATGATCTTTTTTAAATAAATTTTAGTTCCAGTCGATTAAATTAATTAACTCCTTAAATTGTTTCAAATAATGCCCCGGGGCATTATTTCACACAAATATAGGTCCGTGTTTATATACCATATGATTAAATTTTTTAATGTTCTACCGTTTGGAATTTATTTAACATAATATTTAGCGTTAGAGATAGTTAATCTACTAATCGAATCAACATTACTGGCTCTACCGCGAAATCCCGAAAGCTATTTTCCGAAAGAAAATAATACTGGTTAAATCGGCCAGCATTATAACCAATGCCGGCTAACTTTGTCCTTCTGTGAATCTGTATTCCGCGTAAATTATACAAGTCACTCTCGTTATAATGAACTCTCGTTATAGTGAATCACTGGTTATAGTGAAGACCAGTTTATATAGATATAGGGCGTTCTCAAGTACATACCTCAATGAATTCTATAAAAAATCTGATTGGCCAGCTTAATAAAACAGACCAATCAGATCCTTTGTTGAGTCCATTAAGTGCTTGAATACTCTCGATATAGTGAATTTACTAACAGACTCTCAAAAATCTCACAGCCCGATCACTTCACTATAACGAGAGTGACTTGTAATACTTAAATTCAGAAATTTGGTGCAAAATTAAGGCTAGGAAGTTATATGTATCACGTAATTTTTAATTTGCTGATAAGAACTACCTGATTTAGACGACCTCTAAACTTGTTGATCGGTAACACGTATGCTGGTATGGGAAATACAAATTTACCAATTCCAGAAACAAATCTGATTGATAATGATTATTAATTTACTCGAAGTTTAGATCTTATCGTTATCGCCATTACATATAACGATAAAAGATCACAACGAATAAATTTATATAATAAAGGGTAAAATTCATCAATTAATTTTTCAGCATAAATTTATTCACGATAAACAAAAAATATGCCTTTAGCAAGTGAACTTAAAGCTTGGCACGCACTTCAAAGTCATTATGAAACAGTGGGTAAAAATTTAGTGTTAAAAGAGCTTTTTGCACAAGACCCTACTCGCTTCGACACTTTCTCACGTCACTTCAAAGGAAAACATACTGATGCCTCTATCCTACTCGATTTTTCGAAAAATATCATTACTAATGAGACTTTTCGTGCACTCATTGAACTTGCACGTGAGGCCGATGTTGAGGGATTCAGGGATAAAATGTTTAACGGAGAACACATTAATTTTACTGAAGACCGTGCTGTATTACATATTGCTTTAAGAAACGTTTCAAATCATTCGATTTGTAATAATGGGGAAAATGTCGTACCAGAAGTAAATAAAGTTCTGGAACAAATTAAGAATACTTCAAATGCTATCCGTGAAGGTCGTTGGACCGGGTATACAGGCAAAGTAATTACTGATGTCGTTAACATTGGCATTGGTGGTTCAGATCTTGGCCCTGTAATGGTTACCGAAGCATTAAAACCCTATGCAAAAAAAGGATTAAACGTGCATTTTGTTTCAAATATTGATGGTACACACTTAGCTGAAACATTAAAAAAAATGCATCCTGAAACCACTCTTTTCATTGTTGCGTCTAAGACTTTTACCACGCAAGAAACGATTACCAACGCTGTTTCTGCTCGAAATTGGTTTTTAGATACGGCAAAAGATGTGAGTATGATAAGATGAATATGAAAATATAATATATAAACGTTGTCCGATTTTTGTCTTTTAATTTTAGAGTGCATATGTCGCAAAACACTTCGTGGCACTTTCGACAAATGCTTCAGAGGTCACAAAATTCGGGATCGATCCCGCAAATATGTTTAGATTCTGGGATTGGGTTGGTGGACGTTACTCTTTATGGTCTGGTATGTAATAAGAATGTATAAATTATTGTGGTAAAATTACGTGGCCTTGTTTAATATAAACTTTGCACAGCTATTGGACTTTCCATTGCAATTTACATCGGTTATGATAACTTTCATGAGCTTCTTTCCGGCGCACATGATATGGACCTTCACTTCAAAAACACACCACTGGAACAAAACTTGCCAGTAATTTTAGGTGTAATTGGTATCTGGTACAATAATTTCTTTGGCACACAAACACATGCCATATTACCTTATGATCAATATCTCCATCGCTTTTCGGCTTACTTTCAGCAGGTATTTATTGACTTTTTAATTGCTGCCCATTTCTTTTTTTCTCATGGTATGTGCTTGCTACATAAATATTTAGGGAGATATGGAATCCAATGGCAAGTATATTTCACGTTCAGGAGAGCCAGTGAACTACCAAACCGGACCTATTATCTGGGGAGAACCGGGTACCAATGGTCAACACGCATTTTATCAATTAATTCATCAAGGAACCAAGATAATTCCTGCAGACTTTTTGGCCCCCGTTGAAACACATAATCCAATTTCTAATGGTTTACACCATAAGATTCTCTTGTCAAATTTTTTTGCACAAACTGAAGCTCTCATGATTGGCAAAGCCAAAGAAGATGTACTACAAGAATTGAATGGCATTAAAAATAAAGATTTGATAGCACCTCACAAAGTCTTTACTGGAAATCGGCCAACAAACAGTATTATGTTTCAAAAGTTAACACCTTCTACTCTTGGAGCATTAATTGCTATGTATGAACACAAAATATTTGTGCAAGGCACCATTTGGAACATTAATTCATTTGATCAATGGGGTAAAATATTTTCAAATAACATAATTTAAGATTTATTCTCATGTAAATAATATTTAATTTTTTTTCTTTGCTACAGGTGTTGAACTTGGCAAAGTTCTGGCAAAAAAGATTTTACCTGAGTTGACAACTCAAGATAATACGTCCGTTTGTTCTCATGATTCAAGCACTAATGGATTGATCAATTTTTACAAAGCTAACAGGAAGGATTAAATCAAAATATGTGATGTTTGAAGGCATTATTTATAAAAATGAATTAGAGGCGTACTAGATTATTTTGATTGGATTAGTTGCATATGTGTATAGGGCGAAGTTTTGTTTTTTGTAGTATTTAATACTTTGTTTTAACTTTTAGTATTTAAAATAATCATGTAAATATATATGATTATATAACATTCTAAAGTTGAAGATATTAGTTAACCTTTTTAAATTCACTTTTTCTAAGTGCACTTACTCTCTAAATGCATTAGTTTCAAATTTGAGTTCTAAAGTTACCATAATAACGCCCACCTACGCGTTAATTTCAAATAAGATTGATTTTTTTGAATCCAATGTATCATTAGTCGTGTTAATTCGGGACGCCCACGGACGTTAATCCGAGAACATTATTGCTACTCCAGTATAGTTACTATCACGTGACACAATATGACAAAAATTTTTGATAGATCTGTATTTATATCAGATATATGTCTCAGCGTATGAATTATTTTTAAAACTCGAAAAACGGGTACTCTTATTTATCAGAACTAAAAATAGACATATTATACTATGTAGCGTTACCATAAAATAAGGAAAACTGGTCCGATCTCTGGAAAAATTAGAATTCTAAATAAAAGTTATCATTGAGGCTTATCATGTCACTGCTGCACTGCCACACGAGTATATCGATAAACCTTAAATTAACAAACAATAGATCGAATTATCAAATAATAACGCTTAAGAGTACAAGAATAAAGATAATATCAGAATTCCCAACTTATAACTGTTAATTTGAATAAAATGTATTCTGAAGTGAAAAACACTGGTAATGCAAACGGAGGCCAATTTCTTACCACTCTTCTTTTTAGTGTTAATGATCGAGTAGGTATCCTGGACGAATGTTTGACTGCTATTAGAAATTTGAATATTTCTTTAACTAGAATTGAAAGGTAAATATCTCTTTTGCGAAGGTATACAAACGTTAAATTACCAAATGACCCCTTATTCATTATTGAATTTAAATAGCCGTCCAAGTAAAGCCCCTGGTTGGGATTATGATTTCTTTGTTGACTTTAGCGCTGATGAGGAACAACTTTCTGCTGCAATCAAATCTTTGAAAGAGATTACAAAACAAGTTCAAGTCATTAGTTCTGGAGGTACTCAATTTGAATCAGTGCCGTGGTTTCCACGTAGAAAGCATGATCTTGATACATTTGCTGATAAAGTCTTGGAAATGGGTGAAGAACTTGGTAAATAATTTTATATTCAAGAATTTCCTGTCATATAAAAGAAAGAATAATTTTCTCAAGAAAAGAAATTATATGTATGCATAGATGCCGATCATCCAGGCGCGTTGGATCCGGTTTACAGAGCGCGTCGAGCTGAAATCACTCGACTTGCTAAAACTCATCGTCATGGCCAGCCAATTCCAAGGGTTAAATATACTGAGAAGGAAATTGAAACGTGGGGTACAGTCTTTCGCAGCTTAAAAAAATTATATAGTACACACGCATGCAGAGAACATCAATTGGTATTCCCATTATTGGAAAAAAATTGTGGTTATAAAGACGACAATATTCCACAACTGGAGGACGTGTCAAATTTTTTAAAAGGTTATTATTTTGTCATTATTTTTCGTGCTTATACATGACAATGTTAATATTTAAATCTTTCTCTAGATTATACTGGGTACACTCTACGCCCTGTTATGGGATTACTCACATCACGCGATTTTCTTAATGGCCTTGCATTTCGCGTGTTTCATTCAACCCAATACATTCGTCACCATTCTAAACCTCATTATACACCAGAACCGTAAGCTTGCATATTGTAAATGTTTATTCGCGATCATCGCATTTAACTAATTCGGAAATGTATTTCGTTATATTCAAGAGATGTGTGTCACGAACTTCTTGGTCACGTTAGTGTCATGTCATATCATTTACATGTTTATTTAATTATTTCCTTTAATAGTTAATAAATTCATTTAATGTACATATATAAGGTACCTTTATTTTGCGATCCAGATTTCGCCGATTTTTCTCAGGTAACAATTTGTATTGCATTTCATTCATTATGCGTGAATGATTATTAACTTTTTATTTAACTAGGAAATCGGACTGGCCTCATTAGGTGCTAGTGATAATGATATTGAAAAGCTTTCAACAGTATGTCATCGTTTTTAAGCTAGTATTTATGTTATTATATAGCTTATAGGTAAATTTACGAACACTTTATACATATTTTAGATTTACTGGTTTACTGTCGAATTTGGTCTATGTCGTCAGGGTAATGATATTCGAGCGTATGGTGCAGGATTATTGTCTTCGTTTGGTGAATTAGAGGTATAAAATGCTATAACTTGAACGTTGAAAACTTATGGATCAAGGCTATAACGAATATATACGTCTCTTTATTTATTTATTTGATAGTATTCATTAACTGATAAACCTGAAAAAAGACCGTTTGATCCGCATAAAACTTCGGAGCAAAAATATATTGTAACCGAATATCAACCGGTTAGAATTAAGCCATATATGAATTTTTCGCTTAATTATATATATATAATATATTTTATTTTAAATAATTAAATTTTTATTTTTGAAAATCATCAAGATCTATTTTGTTGCCGAATCTTTTAAGGATGCACAACAGAAAGTTCGTGATTTTTCAAATACATTAGATCGTCCATTTTCTGTACGATATAATCCTTACACAGAATCTATTGAAGTATTGGATAATCAGGTTTGCATCTCATATATGATATTTTTTACATTTTTTCATTAAAATTAATTCTAAAAATTCTTTTCAGGAGAAAATTTTAAGATATGCACAAAATATTAAAAACGACATGGCAACATTGGTTGATGCTTTAGAAAGGTTATAAGTTCATTACATTATTTAAGCTATTAGTAAAGATATTACACAACGTTTATTATTCAGATTTTAAAAATTTTGGTTAAATAAATTTCCTATATATATTGAGTTGTATAATATTGATCCATATTGGAATTTATTATTAGAGTAATAAAAAAGTACTCATTATTTTTTGTGGTCTTTGCAATTCATACTCTAATAATCATGCAATCGATAATAGCCTTGTTGAATAAACATTTTTGTTATAAAATAGGCAATTATCCTTTTGTAGCAAAACTTTATCAGAACGTTCCTGACATTATAAACTCTTACATTACAATTGTTCACAAATCCAGGGACAACTGATAATAATTGATCGATGATTATTTGGTCGAATTCGATAAGTTTTTATCTCGGTGTAAATAATACTATTAATAGTCATTGCTACGATGTAAATATAAGTTTAAATTCCAATAATCGGGCTTATAAGTGATAAATACTGTATACTGAATCTTGTTCTCATAACAATATAATAATTATTATATTTTAATTTACTATAATTTATATATTTACTATATTACATATTGGAACTTAATAGCTAGAGCCAATTAAATTTATTTTTTAAATAATATAGTAATATTTTTGTATACAGCATAATAATAATAGTAATATACTGTATATACTGTAGTATAGTACAGTATATACTATATATATATAGTATATATAATACAATACATGCTACACTATGCTAAAACCTATTCTATAAAAAATAAAAAATATTATTTAATACTTCACTATGATCAGTTTATAAAATAAATCAATTATTTTATGGTATTTTTAAATGATAAAAT